ATGTCGCTGAAAATTACACGCTGTAGCTTCAAGCCTGATAACTAATATATCTTTCATTCTACTTTTAGAAATTTTAGGAACCACTAGTAAAGTTGCAGATTAGGAGTGAAGGGCTCTCTTATGAACATAATACAAAATAAGATATCTATTTTAATAAACCTTTTAAATGCTACTGAATTTTGGGTCTCCATAGTCTGTTAGGAGGCATGCATCTATCTATGCCAACAAAAATCTTTCATTGGCAGAAAGTCCCCAAAACAATAACTGTTTTAAAACTGAAAATATTTTACAACCCAATCAGGGAAGCTTCTTAATTTCTTAAGGCATTTAATGGAAAGTTAATTGTTTCATTATTTTCTTGATTTAAGCAAAGAAAACTCCCAAGGCCAGTTTTTACTCAGGGTTATTAATTTTTCTGCAGTAATATCGACCACAACTACCATTCTTGTGACTTTAAGGAAACCCACAGTTTATTGTGTTTTACTTTCTTTTTAAGTAGTATTTGAAAACAAAAATCAATGTTCTAGCTAACTTTGTGCTAAAATTATCATTCTTTATCTCTCGTGTTTGAAAAGCAACCCATTTACATTGTGTTGCTTTAATAAGGACATAGTTCTGTTGTGACATTATATTAAATGCCCATCCAGGTTGGATGCCATAATAATGTTGTGAAAAACTGTTATATTCAATTCCCAGCCAGCTGGGAATTCATATTTTCTGATAGTTTAAGATGTTTATAGCCCTCCCTGGTTGGGGTGGTAAATATCTTATTTAATCAGATATTATTTGGGCTGTTATATATTGTTTATGAACACATGCCCTACTAGCTGTGTGATAGAACAATAAATGAAAGAGGGATTCAAGCTCAAATCATGGTCAAACATAATTCTGCACATACATGGAATAAATTCACCAGAACTTCTGTTCAAAATATAAGGGAGATTATTAACAAAAATCATTTAGCTCCAAGTCAAACAAATTTCAGTTTAAAACTCTGAACTAAAACTAGTGAAACTCAACTAAACTAAACTACTATGTATAAAGAGGAAGGGGAAACATAGCTGAAAATCATAGTAGAGTTTTAGATGGATTTTGTGTTTGAAAACCAAAGTTTATCTAGAAGAATTTGGGAAATGACCAAATAAATTTTTTCACTAATGTAGAGACATTGTAATGTTTTCAAACCAATTCACAATGCAGATCCATGAGGTGAATAAAACATTATTTGGCCAAATAATGTTTTATTAAAGCTACAGTGTGTAATTTTCAGCGACATCTAAAGTCCAGACTGCAGACCGCAGCAACATGAACATCTCCCCCCCACCGCTTCTCCCCCCCAACAGTACGGCGAGCGTTACGGGACAAAATGTCTTCCACGACGTCCGCATCACCTACTTTCTCAAGTGATGAGGTTTGTTTACATAGATAATTTTACAGATAGTATTTCATTAGTCTGTGTAGGGTATAGATTTCATGAAGACTTAAGATAATAAATATACCCGTTATTTTTTCTACATCGTTGTGACATTTTGGTGAGCTGCTTTGCATGGTGATATAAACAGACGAAGTAATTGTAGTCATTAGTTTAACAGCGAGATTGTGTTCGCTGGAAGAATATATATTCCCTGTTTACAGAGTCCAAGTCTTGTTTGTGGCACGGGGGTTACAAGGCGCGGAAGAGGGAGAGGAAGAGGGCGAGGAAGAGGGCAGAGAGGCCGGGGTGGGCGTGCAGCCAGGGCCAGGCGAGGGAGAAGTGCCAGCGGGGTGACTAGAGCAGAGGAGGAAAGGCTTGAAGATCTCCAAAGGAGCCGGAGAGAAGTAACCGAGATATATATCCAGAAAATTATTTTACAGAAAATTACTGAATCATTACCTGTGAAACGTCAGGGACGTTGCTGAATAAGTATACTGGAGAGTAACAGCATCATCATGCAGCATGTTATTGTAATGGGCGATCTTGCAATCACTAGTTTGTTGGCTCTGCGCTGCTGTAGCGCAAAGATGTCTGCCTCCATGGCTGCGAGACCTGCTCCTATGTAATTATAAATAACGAATTCTAAGGCAACGCAAATATTAAGGTTAAGAGGCTGAGCTCGTAGATGATGATAAATAACATAGTTATGTATAATATATTACATTTCTGACTGTATATCCCTGTAATTATTACACACTGTAGCTTTTGATGATTGGCTAAATCAGGAACCAAAAACCTTTAGTTAAATGATTCTTTACCCTCTTTGAAATAGCTAGCAGTGAATAGACATCAGGATTCTACTAAATGACTCTTGGTCGCACTTGGTAATGGAAATTTAATAAGCATGTGAGGAACACATTAAAACTAATGTTATATCATTGTTTAAACCCTTGGTGATATAAAGCTTGTCCAAGCTTCAACAACAGCTCAAAACATATTACTATGGCATATCGTGAAGTGCATCCTGTTAGCTTTGTTTTACCCATCAGTAAACACATGAAAAATCATCAAAAGACATATTGTTTGTTCTGTCCTTAATTGTGCCAGACCTACAAACCTTTTGTTCATGTCCATTTGGAAGGTTGAGTTTTCATCCAGCAGCAGCTTAGCAAGGCAGGCTCACAGCAACATGGGGTCTTCTTGTCCATGTGGCTCACACCAAGGGATCCTTAGGAGACTTTCTCGTCCAGTCTGGCTCTGTAAGTTCTGAAACTCAACAGAAATGTGTTGCAAAAAGTCTGTTTTGCAGCAGTTTGGTTCTGTATAGTCAACCCTCATTACTTATCCTTGGTCATTCTGGAGATCTAGGCCTTTTTCCTGGATCTCCATGGTGGCCTCTTCCGATGTGAACCCCCTGGCAGCTCTATGGGAAAGAGAGATAAGAGAAAGAGATCCTGTATGGTTTTACTGTTCTCAGCTCTGTGGGGGGCCAAGGAAAATCACATTTCCTGGGTCCTGTGGAGCCAGTCGGCTGAAAAGCGGGGGGGCGTCTTACAGCTGCTCCATGAGCCAAAACTGCATCTTGTTCACCGGTCATCATGTCAAGAGGAAACTTGGACACTGGTTCCCAATGTCCAAAACCACAATCATGGCTCATGACACAACAGCTCCTTTGTCTTTGAGACTTTATAAATTGGAGAACTGCTTGAGAATATGAACACTTTTTGCATGGAGGGCTTTGATGAAAAGAAATAGTTATGAGGATAGTGCAATGATTCTTTATGAGCCACTTCTGCAGATGGGTCCCACAGACACGTGAGCTGACTCAATGCCCGTAGTTCAGCTCTCCTTAAAATAACTCATGTATTTCTTGAACTACTTTGTGACTTTGCAGAACTCTACCAATGTAGGATTACTTTTTCTCTAAGTACTTTGGTTTACATCGGATCATGCTTATTTGCATGACCAGGTGTCAATCTATTTATGCTTTCATGATGCTATTTATAAAAAAATATATATATATATTTTTGAAATAAATGTCTCAACAAGTGGAGCATATGAATTCAGAGGGAGCTAATGCCTAAAACAACAAACAAAAGGACACTATCTGAATATTAACCAACTTACCTAATTGAAAGTAAATAAACTAAATGACAAAAACTTACTTCCCTAACTACGAAAAACATGAAAACCTTAAGGGAACAAAAACGGCAGCTCACTCCTACATGCTCCAGAACTTTACATGATGTTTAAACAGTGTGGCCTGTTAAGATGAGCTGAGGATGAATGCAGGAAGTCCACATCAGCAGCTTTTATATACATCAACTCAAGAAGGCCAACAATTGGACATCTCCGTTGTTGTTGTGGTCGTCGTCTAGCAACCAAGCAGCGACAAGCACCTGCACACTCATATTTAGATAAGTTGACTATGCCAGTTGTAAAAAATATATTATGTGAGCATAGATGTAATGACTATTTGGTTCAGAGAAGGTGATGGCAAAGGGCATTTAGCTGGTGAACAAAACCTTTTTATTTCATAATTCATTAATTTGTTAAAGAATTTACACTAGAGACACTGAAGCCCATCTATCCCAACCATAGAAGTTTTTGTTGTCTCCTGTCCAAGAGATATTAGGACAATTGAAGAGTCTGCACCAGTAAACATGCACTACTCCAGTCAAGGATGCTTAAGGAAAAGCTTGGTCACAAAAAAAAGATCTAAATTTACTTGTGTAACTTTTTTAAAACTGTTGGGATCCGGAGGCTTGCCCACCAGAGGGCGCCAAGGATCCCTTCCTGGGGGTTTGTTTTTCTGTTGGTTTCTGGGTTCTGTCTGCCTTTTTCGTCCAGAGGGCGTCCTGGGTCTCCTGAAGCTGGAACTGACTTCACCAGCTGTTCCTCATCTGCTCATCAGGAGACCAGCATATAAGCAGTGGCAGCGCAACACTCCAGTGCCAGAGTGTTAAGCCAGTTACGGTTAGCAAGCCTGAGCCAACCAACCTGTCTGATTCTCTGACTCCCTTGATTCCTGAACCTGACCCTAACCAGTTTTGTCCTCTCTGCTTCTTAGGAAGAACCTGACTGAATCCTGCAACTCTGGAAGAGAGTTCTTTCATCTGCTACAACCTGTTTGCTCTCAGGAGAGCATTGGATGATCAACTGGTCTGAACCTGCCTGCCCGCTCTCAAGAAGAGAATTGGGGAAATCTCTGATCTGAACACTTGAAAGTCTGAAGTCAAGCCCTGCCACTGTCAAGCCCTCTGCTCACCTTCAGCCTCTGGACCCTCCTGGTTCCCTCCCTCTGCCGCTCAGCCTGAACCACAGAACAGAGAACCCTGTTGTGACCAGTCCTGGACCTGTCTTTCAGAATCAGTCTTTATTATTCATTATGTTAACAATAAACTGTTGAACTTTTCTTCCGTGTCTGAGTGTGTTCTGCATGTGGGTTAGGTCCCTTAATCCCACCATGACAAAAACATCTTTAGGCACTACTCTGAAATGTTTTAGGAATCATTATGAACAACCTAATATGTTAGAGGAGTATTGCACAAGTTTAAAGTCAATATTTTTCTTCCTCCCCAATGAAATTGAAACCAATAATCCTGAAATTTATCCAAAGTGTAATTTTTTTTTATCTATGTACAGAAGATGTCTCTATACATTAGAAAATTAATGATAGTGTGATTTGCATTTTATTCCTGAGGTGTGGGTGCGGGTATGACTGCACTCTCTCATTCACCTGGCACCCATGTTTAGTATCTGCTGCTATTGAAGCATTAGCAGGTGAACATGGAGGACTGTTTTTGAAGAGGGATAAAAAAAAAAAAAAAAACAGGCTACAAGTGCACCCCCAAACCCCTTCCCGGACTCCACACAAGAGTTAGAAAATAAAACTTGTGTCAAGCGTAAATAAAATGAAGACTTTCTTTCTTTCTTCAGTGTTGTAATGTTGACACTGCTCAGAAGAGGGCACAGCTGTATACTCTTAAGCAAACCCTCACCAGTATTTGCAAGAGAAGTAATGTCAGAGAGAAAGTATGTCAGAACGAAAGCATTAAAAAAATATTGTGGTTAAAACAGGGATACAAACTAGAAAAATAAAATCCTCTTGATACAAGAAAGCCAACTTTTAATGAAAAAATTAATTTATAATTGTCCCTACCTCCATGCACTCGACAAACACCTGTCTTCTAAAGAAGTAATACAATCATTTGATTTTAGGTGTGCTGGAGCAGAACGTTATCTAAAACAAATTAGACTGCATATTGAGTCACTTCGTCCCATGGTCCAAATCCATGACTTTTAGGTTAACTGTGTATACATGAGTGTATCTCGTTGTGCTGCCCTGCAAGGGACTTGCCCCCACCCCCCATAGCCTGCTATAGATAGGCACATTACACTGACACCAAGCTTCATTACAAAAATAGTGAAACACAAACTGCCTTGAATAAGCCTCCAATAAGCTCAGTTTTAATATTGTTCCACTAGTTCTGGAAGAAATCTTTTTTACTTATTTATCAGCAAGAAAATCCGCTAGAGACCAAAAAGAAGAGAGAAAAAAATCCTAAGGCGAAAAAATATGTTTTACCAATACAATTAGGGCCAAAGTCTTAAACATGTAACCTGCATAAATGATGATTGGGTACAAACACTGAAGTGTCAATGTGGCAGGTTTGTTTTTAGTTTAGAGTCTAAACACAGGCACAATAAAAAAAAAATATGTAATAGAAAATGGGAGAAATAAATGGAATTACATGCCAAAAAACCAACACATTTATAAAAATATCTATGATGACCTGGTAAGTAAAAACAACAAGCTGATTTCTACTAAAGGCAGGTTAAGCCATGCAATATTTTTTTATTCTATTTTGCCCACTCTATTCTAATGTGGGATTTCCAGTTCGGATGGAAAATTATACCTCTGATTTAAAATTCAAAGAGTTGGAACCATAAGACGCCAAAAATGAAATCAAAGGGAGACAATCAGGACCTGTCGAAAAAATAATGCAGAGTAATAGGTGTAGCACACTTAGCATGAAAAGAAGAAATTAATTTGTTCCTGTTAGGTTCTATCATGGGCTTCAAACTGTGGGACTTCTTGATTAGTTTTAAGAGGAGAAACAGAGAAAGGGCATGGTGAAAAGAAATAAAGCACTAGAGAAGCAGCACAAGAAGCTTACAGTTATGCTGGACAATATTCAAGGTTACTGTTTTGTTACCTACAAGTACATTCTGATAGACTGCCTCTTTTGGAGACAACTAACTTCAGACTATTATTTAGGTGCATCAAGTTGCCTACTGCTGTGAAAGATCAAAGATGAACATGTAAAAATTTATTTTAATGATCTCATAGGGACTTACCTCAAAGTTTAATATTCAAAGACCGAGGCCCAGGACCATATTGCATACATGGGAGAGTTTAAAGGCCACACCTCTGCTAAACAAATGTAAGCAAATCCTCATCTCCAAATTCCCCAAAATATTGCTAAGACTTTGGAGATATAATGTTTCCTCTATGAAACACAAGTGGACTGTTACATCTGATATAAAACTAATGTAGGATACCTTTGAACTCATTATCCATCCATCCATGTTCTTCTGCCTTTTCTTTCAGGGGCGTAAGGAGGGGTACACCCTGGCCAGGTCGCCTTACTGTCGCAGGGCAACACAGAGACATACAGATGCATACAACCATGTGTACATTCACTCACAACTAAGGACAATTTAGAGGTGTCACTAACAGTCAAGTTTTTGGAGTGTGGGAGGAAGCGGGAGTCCCCAGAGAGAACCCACACATGCACAGAACATGCATCCAGAAAGATCAGGAATCAAAAAAGGAACTTTCTTGCCAACAGTGCTAAAACTTGCATCACCGTGCAGCACAAAAGCAATCAAACGTGGTGGGAATGTTATGGCCCTTTAGGACTTGGATGGCAACCTACAACTAAAGCCATCATGAATTCTGCTTTATGGCAGAAACTTCTGAAGTGGACAGTGTTGCTATGATTACATGACTCAACTTCAAGTGCAGTTGGGTTATGCAGCACAAACTTTCAAACTTTGAAAGATTATGTCCATTTTAATGGTTCTGAAGTGGTCCATTCAATGTCTACATTAGATATAATTTCGATGTTGTGGTTCAACCTTAAACAGGTTATTCACTCTTGAAAACACTTATATGTGGCTTAATAGCAGACATGTCTACAAAAACGTGGGTCAAATATGATCCATAGAACTAGAAAATTACAATGCCTTGTACTGCAAATGCTTGATGGCAATTGTTGTTGGCGGTGGCAAAATCCGGCTATGGGGACAAACATGTTTTTATAAGGCCAGGATAGTTTTGATAGCTTTTTGTTAGCCTTACATAAAAACCAGAGAAAAAATAAATGTTTTTTATACTTAGATTGTTTTTAACTGTTT